TAGTAGTGACTGTTAATTGCGTCGAATCCCTTGAAGTAGTAGCATTCTCCCTCTCTAACAATCATCCGGAATTTTTTTAGCATATCTTTCTCAGTGACTACGGCCTGGATTTTTGTTAACTGTGAAATATAGACATCATAAGTATTACATGATTATAAAAGTATGAATGCAACATAAATTAGCAAAGCCATACCTCCCTGTCCATTAGAATAAAGTTGAGGGTTTTGATTTTACCCTCATGTGTATATTGAATATCGTTGAATACTCGAATAACAGAGACACATATGGGTATGGTGAGGCAGTCTGAATCTATACTTGTGAGAGGGAGGTCCATCACGTTATCCATTGCCTGCTATTACGTGTGAGTAGAGCTAACTATATGAGAATTGAGGGATTCCATCTGTTGTGATTCTTTTATAGACTTTGTATAGGGTGCTATTGGTAAGGGGTATCATGGCATGTTGGCTTATTTGTGCACCTGTTAACTACCTCACTTGCCATGATTGAATACATGGCCCTAAAATGTGGAGCAGTGCATCTACATGATATGCTATTTATGTGGGAGGCATAATAGAAATATTTGTCCATATGTGATTTGCGCTTTTAAAAAATGTATCCATAAAAATGCTTAGTTTAAATGCTTCCATGTCTATTTATATTGGTAAAAAGGGTTTATTGAGGCATAATATCATACCTGTGAAAATAATAGTGCCTAATAAAATATTAAACCACCAATATGGACTATGACTCGGGAAATGGAGAAATAAAGTTACAGAACAGTGATCGCTATGTTCCTCTGTCGATTTGTTACATAATTATTGGAATATTGATAAATTCAGATTTGTTATGTCAGTTCATACAAAACAGTAACTGCTGTGTAAATTATTTTTTAAAAAAAAGTGTCTCTTATCTTATTAAAGATTAAAGATTAATAGACAAATCCCCGTCAATCAGTATAATAGTTTATTATACTTAATTTTCAATAGCCTTTTTAATAGAGCCAGATTCAGTTAAAATCTCCACGTCCCCAACTTAATTTGAAACAGTCAAATCTTTTAAATATTGTTGTTTCATATTATTATGAAAATAATTATTTTTATTATTATAATCAAAGTACATAGTATAATATCTTAAGTATGATAGAACAAAATATAATAACGTAATATATCATCGCATGCCGTGTATGTAGTATATTATTATAGCTATAATATATAATATTATTATAAAATATGATGTAATATAACTTTGTGATTATAATATATATTACGTAATGTATATTTAAATTATTTGCTCTAACCCCTTATGCTATCATTTATGTAAATAAAAATATTAATTTTAGACCAAAATGGAAATACAACAAAACAAAACTGGTCATCATTATGTACAAAGAAGTCTTTTGCAATCTGACTATTTGATTAATTAAAAAACTCTTTACTTCTATAATTTTTCATTCAGATTACACATGGTCTATCTTTAACGCTTATTAGCCTAAATACAATTAATGAATTGATTCTTTATCCTGTTGTTGAAAACAAGTAGCATATTTTTTCTATGTTGAAAATAAGTAGCATATTTTTCTAAGTTTTGCACTATCTAGGTCGATGAGAGCAAGACGTAGAATATAGTATTTTAAATATAAAATTTATTTTGTGATGTAAATTTTATTATTATACAAAATAGAATATAAAGTAGGATTTAATGGGAGGCTCTCAAGTAGCAGCCCGTGTCAGATAAATGTGTCTTATTTTTCTATTTTTTTTACGGCAATTAACATAAGCTTTTCACAGGCGGTTTTGAGTAGGACGTCTATGCCGTTGACATTAAAATAGAAGACTTTATTTTATTACATCTTATTGATGTGTAATCATATTTTTATCTAAAAAAAAAACTGAAGTATATAATACTGAGTTCAAGCAAGATTGTGCCCTTAAGAAATTATAGCATTATTTTCATTTTAATAGAATTTAAAGAGACTTGTATACAGTGTTTCTTTCTTCAATTTTTAACACTTAAGGTTCATTATTATATTGACAACTAAAATATTTAATATTTATTTTACATTTTAGATTCAGACTAAAATCTTGAATAAATATTTTCAATTTTAAATTAATAAAAATATAAAATCAAATAACTATATTTTATGATCTCATTTTTTGTGTAAACATATGTGTGGGATCTTATATCAAGCACATGAAGCAATAACTATGAAAAAATGAACCACGTCCCGTCCAATAATGATTTATAGTTTACATTGTTGATGATAGTTATCAACTTAAATTATACAGGTGTATTTTAAATCTCAAATTGGAAATAAAAAATTAAATAACTATTTATATATATATATATATATATATATATAAGTGGATACTTGTCTTCTACCAAAATTAAGTACTTCAATCACATTTATACATAATAATGTTATAGGTGAAGTCAATTTGTCTTTGTAATGACATATGGTTAATTGTGATTATATTAGCAAAACATGTTAGAAAAGTATATAAAATATAAGAGCAAGACACTCTAAATATCTTGAAAATAATGATCTTAAATGATAGAAACATCACAAAAAGAAAATTCAGTACTACTTACAAAGCAACTTTTTATAATCTTTTATCTTGAGCATAATATGATTTTTTTTTTGGTGACAAAAGTATATATATGAATTTAACTAATTTAACTAATCACTATGTAGTTATTGAACTTTTTTATAGTATATGAAGAAATACTAATTCAACCCCGTGCATTGCACGGGTACCGTACTAGTTTAAAACTAAATCCAACTCTTAACTAACTCTTAAACTAGAGAGAGTAGGAAGTAAAGAGGAAATGTGTATATTTTTATTGCGAAAGAAAGTCCTTAATTTTCTAAACACGTTCAAGCTTCTTGACAAGTAATTTTGGTGTCCAAAGGAACTTCTCTTCTTCTTGTTTTTTTTTTCCTTTTCCACATCCGTTGTTACTTTATCTTTGAGGGCGATGGTTTCCTGTAAAGTGAATATGAAGGACGAAAATGCAACAACATAAACTCTATTTAGAGACACGAAATTTAATAAACCAAGAATTAAATCTGATATATAATGAAGTCCCTAAATGAATTCGTCGTACAGAGGTTGAACGACAACCACAGCCATCATTATAATCCTATAAATGGCCATTATACAAACTCTAACAATTAACCAACACTGAACACATAAAACCAAAATGGCAGTAGATAGATAATTAAAAACTAATTCGTTGAACGAAATCTCTTAGTTATTATTCTAACTCATGAGCCGTACGTTTTCTTTTACTCATAAGCCTCATCTTGCTGATACATAATCATCAGAAACTCAGAATATAATCATGAGCTTATTATATATATAGGGATGAATGTGTATATATATATGATCAGTAAGGCTTTTCGCCTTCAATGTTTCCCGGAGGGTAATAGCTGCAAATCACGAACATCCAATTGTTCTTGCACTTAGCCTTGGCACATCCGACAGAAGTGGTCTTGCGGCCGACCACTTGAGTGTAGTGTCCACATTCCCACTCGCCGGTCTTGCAAGTGTTGGTTTTGTAGTCGTAGTCCGCCTTCTCGGTGCACCAGAATTTCACGGCGTCCGTGCCTTCCATGTCCTCGTAGTTCATCGCCAGGTTCTCGCCGTAAGGCCCCATCGAGTGCTCGAACTCGCACTTCTCGTACCTTGAGTCGGCGTATTTCTGGGCGTATTCCACCAGGCTCTCGTTCCACACCAGCGGCGGCACACCCACCTCTGCTCGTGCCTCGTTGTGCGCGTCCAGCCACGCCTTAGGAGTGCTCTGAACACCACCCATGAACATGATGAACACAATGTTAGGGTCTTTCTATGCAAGCCCTAGCTAGCTAGAGTATAATCTAAAGAAGAAGATATGCTAATATTTTTGTAGTCTAATGATATAAAAGCTCTTTTGCAAATAAGAGATTGTGGGTTTGATTCGGCTTGTAATCTCATATTGTTATTGTCTATCCTTTGAATGAAAAAACAAGAAGAAAAAACAAGAAGAAGAGACATACACAGTGATTCCCAATTGAAGAAGCTAAGGTATTAACCCTAAATAATAAGAGAACAAATATGAAGAAACTTACGCCAGATCCAGCTGGTGCCCTGTGTTGAGGCGGGTTCTGTTGATCCTGAAAAAAATTAATATTTGGTTACTACATGTCATCCTATAATATACTTCAATCTTAAATATAAAACTCATTTTATAATATAAGTTACGCTATAAATTAAAATAAGTCTTATATTTAGAATCCGAGGAGTATTAAATTCTCGGCGGTGTAGTAATTTATTAATACATAAATAATGATTCTAATTAACTCTGACGGAATAAACTTGTAACTTTCTTAATGGCCTAAAAACATCTCAGAACTTGTAGATAACTATAAAATGAGATATTGTCAATTGAAAAAAATGAAAATCATTGTGAGCGTAACAGGTACGTACTTCATCCTGGCCGCGGGCTACGACAGCAAACGACATGGTGAGTAAACAGACGACGACGAAGATGGCCAGAACATTGTTAAGGTTTGATGATGAGGACCTCATGTTTTATTCCTTTTAATTTGTTTGTGTTGTGTTGTGATGGGTAATAGGGATCGATGGATGAGATAACCATGTTGCACTGGGGGTATTTATAGGGGTCTATTCTTTGATTTCTATATTTGGGCAGATCAATATATAGTCTTAATCTGTTGTAATAAGTGGACAAAATTTGTGTGGAAAACCTCTTCTTCCTCGTCTCCACTAATTAATTTGAATAACTTGGAAATAAATAAAAAAAATTTTTAGTGAAAGTTGAAAATAGAATGTAAAATTCTCAGAATGCATAAGCCTATATATGATGTTTTTCACTTATATGCATTACAGTTTTGAAATGAATCATTCTATTTAATAATTACAAATATTTTTTTTTTTTGTCAATGAAAATGTAAAAAGTGCAGCTTCTTATAAGTTTGCGTGCGTGCGTGTGTGTTTTAATATATAACCCCTGGCAGAAAAATATTCTGTGGCTTGTTGGGAAAGCAAAATAAAAACCATTAATCACATTTATGGTCGATTTTCTCTAGTGTTTCTGGAATTCAATATGAATGGAGAAGATATTTAAAAAAGAAAAATATTACTCCTCTTCTCCTTAATGAAGACCTAATTAGAGAGTTATTGTTAATCATATATATAAGATTTATTTCACATATTTATCAATATTTTTAAAAATTAACCTACTGATATTTTTCCAACAATAATCAAGTAGGAGAAGAAGGGAGAAAATTAAAAAAATATACTTAGAGTGTTTTAAGAAGAATATATCATATTAACTAATTTAACTAATATCCTTAATTTACTCAAATTAGTTAATTAGGTCCTACATTAAGGACAAGAGTATATGAGATTTTCAGTTTAATGCTAACCCAGAAAAAAATAAAAGCAAAATGGAAAATGAGGCAAGCCATTAGCCAATCTTTTGAATATTACATATCATATCATTCTTTTAACTCCCCCCCCCTCCAATTCCGTTCGCGTCATTCTCTATACGACAATTATTCAAGATCCCGTAATTATGATTAATTAATAATATAGTACTAGTATGATATGTATGCAAATTAATAGTGATTAATAATCATGCCTCTATTATATGGCCGCTGGCCTTCAATGTTGCCTGGCGGATCATAGCTACAAATCACAAACATCCATCCATTGTTGCACTTAGCCTTAGCACACCCAAGACGAACAGAATCCTGCCAAACGACCTGCGTATAATGTCCACACTCGTCGTTTACGCACTTGTTTGACTCATACTCATAGTTGGGCTTCTCCGACACCCAGAAGTTGACGGCGTCGGTGCCGTCCATGTCACCGAAATTCTCAGCCAGGTTCTCGCCGTAGGGTCCCCCGGAGTGTTCCAATGCGCAGTCGCCGACCCTCTTGTTGGCGTAGCTCCGAGCGTAGGCCGCCACTTTGTCGTCCCACGTGATCGGCGGCACGCCCACCTCGGCTCGAGCCTTGTTGTGAGCATCCAGCCAGTCTTGAGGCGAGCTCCCGGCTAGGGCAACGTAGGATGTGGTCAGTGAACATATGAAGAAGAAGATGGTGAAGTCATTAATAATGTTGAGGTTTGAACTTGATGATGAGGAAGTCAACATGTTTGATGTTGGTTCTGTGTTTTTGATGTTGTCTGTTGAGTCGGTTTGTTTGACGGGGAGGAAGAAGGAGAGCTGAATTTATAGAAAATAAAATGCGTAGTAATAAATGCAAAAATCATATTCCGTTGGTGATCATAATAATCTTCTGTTTTTGGACTTAATTTGTGAGGATTTGTTACAAATAAATGTGATAGATTTATTCCATTTGTGTGGATTCTTTTCCATTTCTGCTTCATGCTCTTAATTATGGTATCCCACTGGAAATCGTTTTATCAGCCTATAATAATACTACCTTTCGTCTTTAAAATAAGAGTTAGTTGACTAATTTAAATAGATTAAAATTTTTTTTAAATTAATTATTTGTAATAAATAAGTATTGTTTGACATATGCAACTATTACAAGGATTATTTGGAGAAAAAAACAACGAATATGAGAGACAAAGTATAGATATGGTCTTATATTTAGGATCAAATTAAAAGTTAAATTAGCTCTTATATTAAGACAGTCTTAATTAATTTGTTATTATGTCTGAGGAGATCACTTAGCTTTGCGCGCTTTTATTTGTTTAGGAATTTTCTCTCCCACTCGCACGTACGTTTATTTTATTATTCAAGTTGAACTTCTTCGTTAATTTAAAAAAATAAAAAATGTACTGCATGTGAGTATTTAATTTAATATAATGGGTATATTTCATTTAAGTGAGCGAGACTGCAATTTATATTCCAATGATGCATGGGTCCTGATTGTTTGAAAGCATTACCGATTATCAGCATCAATCATATAAAAAAATAATGAGGCATAGTTATTCATAACGAGCAAGGAAAAGAAAATTATGAGATGTGTTACATTAGTTGATAAAAAAATTACGGAAAAAATCCCAAAAGCATTACATGTAAGTACATCGTAAGAAAATTAATAACAACTAAGTTCTAAAAATAATAAATAAATGCCAAAATACTAATCTTACGTTGTTTATTATACCTTAGCATTGCTGGCAATTATAACTTCAAGCATTTTTTCTTCTTCTTCTTCTTCTTTCCAAAATTCCCTTTTGCCCTTTTCTTGGCCAGAGTCGTTAGTTTTTTTCCTTCAAACCTACACGTTTCAAAAAACTTTACTATGTATCAATCCAGGACGAAACTTTTGCTGTACCCAGTCTAAGACGCAACCGTTTTAAAAATAAATTTTTTTAAAAAAAAAAGCTCCTCGTTTTAAAATAATGGGCAAGTGAGGCCATGTTCGTTGTTGATCCAGAACAAGCCTTTGCTCCCAATGTCAAAAATATGCTTTCACGGTCTTACCTACTGAAGGATAAAGTTCGACTATTCAATTAACAAAGATTTAGCAACGGTACTGGGACAATAAAATGAGTTAGTGTTTTATAATACGACGAATTAAGATTCGAATTTCCTTATGTTTAGAGATTATACTAATCCATAGGGACTCTTTTATTGAAGGCAGTGCCCACCATTATATTGTTGCATCTACACCTACTTTGGTAGGTGAACAGGATTCACTGAGGGAAATAGGTAGCGTTCGTCAAAACACATGAAGTTGCTTACTTTGACACTCTTCATCATCACTCTCTGGCACACCCTTTTCGACTCTTTCCCTGTTCTTTCCATGCACAAAGACCATCATCATTTATACCCCCGCGCGCGCGCCCCCTTCTGCCTCATCATTCGTCAAAGAAGAAGTTGCAGAAAAGCCAAACGCAACTATGGCTCCGCCTTCTATTAATTGGTAATTGATTGATGTTATTGCTTTAACTTGTTCTTTAATTTTATATCCTTGCTTGCTTGATTGATTACCCTTTCCTCATTGTGGGCTCCAAATTTCAATGTCTATCTGAAACAGCAATGAGGAAATCAATTGGGATGAAATTGGATTTGGCATAGTTCCAACGGACTCCATGTATATGATGAAATGCTCCACAGAAGAAGATACTTTCTCAGAAGGAACCCTTGTCCCTTATGGGAATCTACACCTCACCCCCTCTGCTGGAATCTTAAATTATGGACAGGTTATTTATTAAGCAGACATTATTCCTTCTCTAAATCATTTCTTATGTACTGACATAACATGTTCTCTATATATCTCTTAGATCTCACAGTATAAGTGAGATACCATAGCATTTTACAAAAGGTCACAAAATGGTATCATCATATGCTTCTTCTTTGTATCTTGTTTGAAAGCAGTGGATCAAAAGTAGACATTAGAATGATATTTATCCAAGGGTCATAGGATCTCATCTTGAACACGTACAAGTTCTGCAGAATGAAATGTATAATTAAGTTCCGCTACAAAAAAAATGGATTTCTGCAGGGAGTGATTGAAGGGCTAAAGGCATACAGAAGCAAAGATGGGCGTATAGTTATGTTTAGACCAGAAGAGAATGGTAGGCGCATGAAGATTGGAGCAGAGAGAATGTGCATGCCATCACCATCTGTTGAGCAATTTGTGAAGGCTGTGAAGCAAACTGTGCTTGCCAATAAACGTTGGGTACGTACTGTATGTATAACATACGCCCTCAAATCTCTTGCTCAGATTAAATTTAATCTTCTCCCTCTTTCTGATTCATTTTATACAAATTAAAGAGATGTTTTGGTATGCTTGAAAAATTCTGGGACATCAGGTGCCTCCTCTGGGGAAAGGTTCACTGTATATCAGGCCACTGCTTATGGGAACAGGAAGTGTGTTAGGCTTAGTTCCAGCACCTGAGTACACGTTTCTTATATATGTCACTCCTGTCAAAACCTATCACAAAGTGAGTTTCAACACTTGAATTGATTTCACTCATTCAAATATTTGTTCTTTATCCCTTTCTTCCATGAAAATATGATAATACAGGATGGATATATTATTATGTACAGGGTCCATTGAACTTGGTAATCAAGGACAAGCTATACAGGGCCATATCTGGGAGTGGAGGAACTGGAGGGATCAAGAGCGTGGTTAACTATTCTCCAGTAAGCAAGCAAAAGAATAATAATATTAACATATTGTTTTGCATTATTTGATCAGAGATTATTACGTATAGTTGCCGTTATTAAAGTATATTGATCGAATAATGGAATCGATGTTGAAGGCTTATAAGGCACTGAAGGAAGCGAGGGCTGAAGGGTTCTCGGATATATTGTACTTAGATGCAGCAACAGGAAAATTTGTTGAGGAGCTTTCTTCATGCAATATCTTCCTTGTCAAGGTATATTGAAGAAAATAAAAGAGAAAATTGAAGACATATATATGCATGGAGGAAACCAATATATATTGGCTTTGTATATATTATCTCCAGTCCTAATTATAAGACTTTGTTCATACACTATGAATGAAGTCTTATAATTAAGACCGGGAGTAGTATAATAGAAAGATTCATTGTTAGTATTTCAAAAATATTATGTTTATTTGGATAACCATGCATGGGGTCTTCAATTAATCTCATAATAACAAACTTGTATACTATTTTGTGAAGGGGAAAGCTATCTCAACTCCAACCGCAGGAGGAAATAATATTCTGCCTGGAATCACCCGGAAAAGCATCATTGAAATTGCCATTGACTTGGGTTATGAGGTGATTTAATTTAGTTTCCTTTCGTATTAATATATCATCACTATATATATAATTATAATAAATTATATACTATTAACAAATTATAAAGAATAGGATTCATTTCTCAAATACTAGGAAGAATTATTTTTCCCTTAATTTTATTTGTTCTAGCTTTAACTTTGATAATCTCCTTGATATTTTCTTTCCTGACATAATCAGGGCGTTTAAAACAGTATTCATATAACGCTCATACTCATCACTCCCCATGGCAGGCTTGGTCAGATAACTCCTTGCCTGCTTAGTGATTATATCATCCTCTTAATAACAATAATATGACCTTATAATTTTAATAACAACAGCTCATTTTTCAGGCCTGATATAGACTACTACTAAATAATACACATGTTCCATTAGTCCTGTACTGGGGAAATCCTTTGAAACCGCGAGGAAGGTATTATGAATGTGTTTCCACTTTTCCATGATTAAAACAAAAAACAAAAAAAATTCACACCTTTTTGATGATTTAGTTTGAATAATAATGTCTATATACTAATACGCGTAGGTAATGGAAGGCGAAGTAGGAGTGGATGAATTAATGGAGGCTGACGAAGTTTTCTGCACTGGAACTGCAGTCGGTGTCAATCCTGTTGCATCCATCACTCACAATAATAACAGGTATATACATTCACTTGGACCCTTTTTTTATAATAATTTTTCTAATTTTTTTACGGGATAAAATAACACCCAATGTCCTGGTATTATTTTTCAGTGGCATTTAGTATCCTTATCTTAATTATCATACATCCAGTTTCATGATACTATTTTCCTGATACGTCTTCATCCAACACTCTAATCTTATTTATGAGTTAGGGGTGCTGATGCATTATAAATAAGATTAAGATGCTGGATGATGTACTAGAAAAATAATATCGGAGTGTTATATGTTTATTATTTTTATAAGGTAATACCTTCAGTCCTCAATATAAGATCTTGTTTGACTTGACTTTAATAATTAGAACCGGAAGTGGTATTTCATAAGATATAAATTTTAATATTATCATTATTTAATGTGTTTTCTAAACTTGGCTGTTTAACTTTCTCAAAGAATAGACCTGAGAATTTCCGAATGCTAATTAGCTTAAACATGGCGAAATGCAGAGCTGAATATAAAACAGGACCAGAAGCAGTTTCTCAAAAACTCCTCCAAACTTTAGTTGGTATCCAAACAGGACATATTCAGGACACGAGGGGTTGGACTCTGCAAATTGAATAAGCCATCGCATTCAGTATTCTGGTCCCATAGCTATTATAAGCTTCAATAAATTACTTTTAAGTTAAAAATTATAGTTAAATTAGTTATGTCTTACACAATCTCAAAATTATGCTGATTAAACATTATTAGTTGAAGAAGTTTGATTATTTAATTTGAAATTTTTATAATTAACTAGAAATATTAAGTTTTGTTCTGATAGAGTATATTGTACACATGATAACGGCTGCTCATCAACCAGAAAAAAAAAAAAAAAAAGCAATGCATGCTTCACGATGCTGTGTTAGACACATGGAATGAATTTGAATGGATGAATCGTGAATGGTTTTGGGGGGGAAAAAAAGACAGATTGATTTTGCGGATGGGAAATTAATTTTTTTAAAAAACTAAGTACGATTGAATAGTTGGCAAAAAAAAAAAAAGAGTAATAACAATAGTTTTCTCGGGTGAAAAGTAATATGGTTATAATTAAAACTATCAATATTCACTGATTGATGAGATGGTAAGAAGAAAACACAATTTTGAATTCAGCACCCTAAAATATTTTGTAATACAATTTTATTTTAAGTATTACAAAATATATTTTAAGATGGTAAATGTACTTGAAAAAAATATTATCCTTAATATAAGACCTAATTATTAAGCTGATTTTAGTTCTAAATATAAGACATATTATTTATATTTATCAATTTTTTCTAAATTACTCCTATAGATACTCTCTCAACCATAATCAAGTAGAAAAAGGAGAGAGAATATTAAGAAAGATGATTATGGTATTTTAAGAAAAACATGTCATATTTTTTATAATTAACTGACTTACCTAACTTTCTTAATCTAATCAAATTAGTTAAATAGATATTATATTAAATATTGAAGGAGTATTACATAAACCACAAAATACTTTAAGTTGTTTGGACTAAAAGGTGGTAGGTGAACCTTAGACTAATTATAGGATGTTCTTAACTAATTTACAAAAACTAATAAAAACACAGTTAGAAGTATTAGTTTAATATATATAAATGGAGGATATGTTTTTTTTTCCCCGAGAAAACTCATAAACATTTCATTAATTTTTCAATAAAATGTCTTACACTTTTAAAGCATAATTTTTAGAAAATGTCTTATAATTTGAAAGTACTCAATTTTTTGCCATAATTTAAAACCGAGGAAAATCATTATAAAATTTCAACAAAAAAAAAGGAATATAATCAACAACAAAAAATAATATAAGTAAGTAGCGTCATTTTTCACACCTAAACTCGTGGATGTTCACTTGTCACATTCTTATTTCATTGTTACATTATTTTCATAGAACTGCAAAGTAATAACAACCGAGAGTGGGTAGTAGTAGTAGTGCCCAGTCTATCTCTCCCTCTTGGCCTTCACTAGCATGCAACCCCACCCACCGTTATTACAATCTAAGCAGCCACTGAACCACAAAAGAACACAAACATACTTACATATATACTCTCTGTGTGCGTGTGTATAAGAACAATCAGGAAGGTTTTGAGTTTGGGTCAGATCGAAGATCAAAGTGAGCTCCATATTTATTTTATTTTCAGAGAAATTAAACTATGTCTTCTTCTTCTATTCCTGCAACTTCCCAAGCCCTTGGGTAATTTCCTTTTCCTCTGACTCATCCCTCTCATTTTCCCACTTATATATTTAAACAAATTAAACAAAATTATTGTTGTTCTTTATTTCCCTTTTTATTTTCAACACTTGACAATAAACCTCTTCAAACTTTTAAATTGGCCCTCATAGAAAAATTAAAGGGATTAATTTCATTATCATTGAGGTACTTACATGAATATAAAATTTTAGAGATTTTTTTTTTGGGGTCAAGTTAAAAAAAATTAAGAAATTTGGAAATTAGTTTGGTATTTTTTCCCCTCCCAAAAACTTGTACGGAAACATGGATATTTAGTTATGCGAGGGAAAAAAAACAGGGGAGAAGGAGGAGAAAACTGCAGGAAGGTGAAATGGGAGGAACTTGGATTCCGATTCTTCCCAACCGATTTCATGTACGCGATGAAATGCTCGCTTGGTCAACATTTCTCTCACGGTTCTCTCACGCCCCTCTCAAGCGTCTCCCTCAACCCCGCTGCTTCCGTTTTAAACTACGCTCAGGTGTGTCTACTCTGTTAGAAACTGGCATTTAGATCTGAAACTAATTGAAAGAGACGAAATTAGAACGTCATTTTTAACACGGAGGAAATCAGATTTGTATTTGCGTCATTTCCGTGGAACTTGATTGGTAGTGAAATGTGCAGGGAGTGTTCGAAGGATTAAAGGCGCAGAGAAGTGACGAGGGAAGAATATTGCTGTTCAGACCAGAAGAGAACGCGAGGCGGATGAAGATGGGAGCAGAAAGAATGTGCATGCCTTGCCCTTCGGTTGAGCAATTTGTTAATGCCGTGAAGCACACTGTGATTGCCAATCGTCGTTGGGTTCCTCCGCCAGGAAAAGGGTCTCTGTATATAAGGCCATTGCTCATAGCTAGTGGCGTTGCTTTAGGACTCCGGCCACCTCCTGAGTTTACTTTCCTTACTTACGCTTCTCCTGTCAATTCTTACCACAAGGTTTCTTTCTACTTCTTTTCTTCTTTCTCCCAAAACTAATTATATTCACATCATTGTTATATATACACAAGGCTTAGAGGTAAAAAAATACTACCAACAAGAGTTGGTCGGTTGTGAGTTCAAATCCTATTGTGAATGTGAGAATCTTGCTGGTGTGCTTCATTTGAAAACATTCATATGCATTGTTATACCCCTGGAAACTTTATAGTGTTAGACGAGTATAGGGAATGCTTCATGGATATTTTTCTTTGGCCGGCAGTTAATGAATAATATTGCACCTTAATCTCATATATACAAGTCTAAGCATTAACTGGAGTTGATGGTTCAGAGTCCACTTGACCTTAAAGTGGAGAACAAGCTGTTCCGAGCAATAACTGGGCATGGTGGAACTGGAGGGATCAAGAGCATCGCCAACTATGCCCCTGTTAGTATGCACTATATTAAACACTCCCTTCATCTTATATTGATTCGCCATTATCATCCAATTTTTCCTTTGATTTATTCCCCTGCTGCTGCAGGTCTTCAGAGCAATCAATGAAGCTAAAATACAGGGGTTCTCTGATGTCTTGTTCTTGGACGCTGCAACTGCAAATTATATAGAGGAAGTTTCTTCAAGTAATGTGTTTGTTGTCAAGGTATGCTAACATATCCTACTTTCTCAGTTTCACATCATTTCAATGGCTTCCAATCGTCTTTATCATCGGTATTTCATTGGGTTAAATATAAGAAACTCAACCAATGGTCTTGTAGCTTTGTCGCAGGAAAACTCTGCTTTAAATGGGAGGTTACAAATTCTATCTTGTTTGTAACATTAGGCCATTGGTGCCTACCTCTCTAAATTCAAAATATATACTCCTCCGTTTCTAAATATAAAACCCATTTCATAGTGCCCAAGGAGTATGTAAATATGTGTGTGTGTAAGAAACTCAATGTTGTAAGATTTCAATTCGAGCTTTATCTATAGAGGAAATCACGCCTAGGTAATTAAGAAAGTCTTATAACCCCCAACCCCCAATTTCGTTGGATAATCTTTACATATATAGCTGATGATGCATGTGTAAAGAATGAAGGATCTTAATTATACAAATATTTTTATTTTAGTTTACTTCATATTTCTTTTTATCTTGTGATGGAGGGTAACGTTATCAGCACCCCAGTAGCAGATGGAAGCATTCTGCCGGGGATCACACGGAAAAGCATAATTGAACTTGCCACCGATTTGGGTTATCAGGTGACTCACTTTCCTTCAGTTTCTCTGACAATTGACATATAAATTGATTAACATGTGAACTCACTATTAATTTATTGATTCTCCATAGAATTCTCTGGACTTGGTAGTCTTATTTCAGAGAATCCAGTGAACAAGTTTCCTGTTTTACTATATATTGTTGATGATTCCTCATGGCAAGTAAAACTTACAAAGGAAGTGGCTTTATGAACTATGTTGTTAAAGGTCATGGAACGTGATGTTGAAGTGGAGGAAACGCTGCAAGCTGATGAAGTTTTCTGCACTGGAACTGCCATGGGTGTCAAGTCTGTTGCATCTGTGACCTATAATAACAGAAGGCAAGCCAGTTTCAGTTTTATTTCTAAGTAGATTTAATCAATGACGTGTAAATAGAACAAACAGATCATGATTTTGTTTCCCTTTCATTTTTTTTCTGTTATTTTTTTTTTTTCCTATCACATGTTTTTAGATGTTTGGGGAATATGTCACAACTTGGTGTTAAATTCCAAAACTTCCAATCATGCAGAGTTGAATACAAAACAGGAGCTGACAGTGTGTGTCAAAAACTGTATGACACCCTGGTTGGTATTCAAACAGGACTTGTTGAGACCACAAAGAACTGGATTGTTCAAGTAGACTGAGCAATGAGCGTTACCTTCATTATATGGATTTGATTTTGGAGATTTGCTTATTGACCTTTGATGATTTGTACATTATAGGGAATGAGGGATAAAGAAAAATAATAGAGGAAAATTAATATCCCAAATAGTTTATTTACTGTTTTATTATTAACTTGTCTCTTTTTTTAATCATTTGGTGCTGAGTGCTATGAATTCCCAACCTGCGACAAATTTCAAGAGTTTGTTTCAGGATTTTCAATAGTTTCTATTATACGTCAACTGTATCTATTCATTACGTGCGCTCCATCAGTAGGGGTATTTCAATTAGCTTTTTAGAAGTGATTTTATATAATACAAGATAAATATGATAAAGAATTTTTCTCAAGTGCTTATAGAGCTTTCCAAACACCTCCAAATTCACTAGCGGGTCACCAAAACAAGGACTAGATTGTGGAGGACCAAACAAGAATAAGAATACAAGTCTGACAGAAAGTAACATAAAAATTGATGAACTTTTGGAGAATCAAAATAACGAATTCGTACTCACTTCTGTTCTAATAATTAAAACTGGTATCATGCGAACCATATCATCTTATCATCAATTCGACTCTGTAACTTCAGACAAAACTGAGAAAAACAAGCACTCTAATCTATATACTGAACTAGAGTAATTGTTGAATCAAAGTCATCAAAACACGTGCGTAGTACAAGAAAACATATGAACAATTTTCTTTTCTTTATATGTGGAATATGAATAAGCTAACATCAATTTCTGTTCTTGATATTATATAGATGCGCTATGAACAAGTCATTCCAAGTATCTGTGAGTCCTGGTAAGCACCAGTGCATGCAGTCATCGTGTTTCTTCCCACCGGCCGTAGATGGGTGAGCATCAGCTCTGAACTCACTCAGGTGAGTTATGTCCAAAACAACAAAACTAGACCCTGAAAGCGCCTTATTAAGGTGTTCGTTGACCAATCGAGTCTCCACGTTTGTCCCACTATTATTCACTGAGAAAAGGTTTTCCACCTGAGAAGGAAACAACTTGCCGGATCAGAATATCAAGTAAATCAGGTAAATATAATTCAGTAAACTCAATTTTGGCCTTCCACAAAAGATAAGCCTAATATCAATTCACTTCTTATAATTTTTTTTAATCCATAAACTCAGTATTTGAAGGTTTAATTTTGTTTTGACGGCATCATGTTACTTCTTCATCTTCTTTTTGGGTTTAACACATCAAGAGAGTTTAAACCTTAAATTTTCCATACCCCCACCCAATCCCCTATTACTTGAACTAACCCCAGATGGCTGGCATCATGTTACTTCACTAATCTCCACTTTTGATTATTCTAAGTGAAACAAGAATCCGAAGCATGAAATGCAAGTTATCTCTTAAAAATTATCCATGAACATTTTCTCTGAAACTTAAATGGCATTAGGATTAAAAACTCTCCAATTAAGTGGTCAGAAAAGAGATTCAAGCCACCGCATCTACTTATATTTAAAAGAATTAATACAAAGTAGAGGATTAAGATTATCGCGTGAGGAGATTTGTTAAAGATTTGAACAGCTTAAACCTTTTGGTATTCCAAAGATGAACCAAATATCAAACAATTTTTAGAGGAAGCACCTGCTCTGTTGATAAAGGTTGGAGCCTTGGGCAAGAACCACCTTGATCCCAATCACCACCTTCAAAATGTCTGGGTGATTGCGTACGGAGAAATTTTACTGCATTTGATTTCGCTCTTTCCTCCACATAGGATATCTGTAAAGAAAACCATTCCAAAATGTTGAATTATGATAACCTGGCACAAAAATTTATGGCTAAAAGAGAGTTGCTGGCAACAGCAGAATATGTTCATAAATCAACAACTATAAGCATCTTCTGGATTTTCAATAATCAGGGTAAACATTCTGCACTCAATAACCGAATTTTATTTCTATCCAATAAGCACCAATCTCTTGATGACTGATATCACCTGAAAAGAGCTCTCTTCATCTTCATAAGTTGGGAACTAGAAATTCGGATTTAGACAGCAGCAATTCTTGTAGGAAGCATTCTACAATATTATCTTGTATGCTTCTATGCAACAAATTGCTGTGAGGAAATCAGTTTCTAAAATTTCCCAAAACAGGGATTTAATTCTGGACAAAACCAGCCATGACCATGGCATAAATTAACTTCAGAGCTCTAGTATTATATCGGATGCGTGGTTTGATCACTAGAGAGGATAAGAAAGCAATGCATTAGCCATACCATGTGCTCCAAAACCAAATCAAGGCCACGATCAGGAGGCAATGGAGGGATTACTGGCTGACCTTTGTTGAAGAAAAGCATAGGTGACTTCACAGGGTCAAATTTGGAAGGGGCCCACCACCTGCTCACATAACCAAAAAGAATCTCAAAAAATCATAAAAGCTGTCACATGAAATCTTCTAAAATGTTGAAGAATAACCCGTCCAGCATCAGCTCAGCTAATTAGAAATGAAAGCTTCTAGAATCACACATCATCGAATGAAGAAATATAGAGATAATAAAAAATTACCAGTGGCCAGTATTAAAAATTAAAATATCATGAAAGCTTGGAGCTTGTGCCCATGTGCTTTCTGGGATATCAACGTCAACTCTGAAACCCTCTTTGTATCCAAGAGATTCTAATGCACCGCCATTGGCATTAGCTGACCATCTGCATGAAACAGGCATAACAATTATCATTTATATGCAGTTCAAAAATATTACAGTCTAATTAATGGCGTAAAATCAAGTAAATCACACAAACGGGACAAAGCAGAAACAAAAAACACCTACAAAATACTGAAAAGTGAACTCATCAATCTACAACAAGAGCTCAAATAAGAATTACAAATCAAATCATCATGACAATAAAGCTTACCTACCATAACGAGCCAAGAGATTTGTTCGATGATACGCAATGGTGAGATTGTATTGCAGAAATGTGAATCCACGGTCAGCACCAGCTGGTCGCCACTTCTTCACTTCATTGGACACACTTTAAGAGTGCAGAAAAGTGACACAAACATATTCCTGTTTAAGGAATCCCCAACAAAACCTGCTGTGTGAAAACCAGTTAAAGCTGCCATAAATCATTGAAAATGCCAAATTGGTATTATTAGGAGCCCACAGAACCTATTCTTGTTTTTCAAAAGATTGTATCATCATCAGGTTAATACAAGACAACATAATTTTGTTTCGATTTATAATAATCTCAGAAGCTCTAGGTGAAAATGAAACCAAATTGTACCTTCAAATATCAAAGTGATGCCCGAAACACACGCACAGTTTATCAAATTGACAATCACATTCACAGAATTTTCCAAGAACTAAAGTGCTATATTTTTTTACTTTGAATGAAAAAAAACGCTCAGTTTACTTGAATAACGAACCCGAGAAGACAAATCTAACTGCTCCGTTAAAAGGAATGCTACAATTTGAGCTCTGTGGAATGGAAAAGTTTTGATTTGTTGCCTTTCATTTTAAATGACAATAACATAATTAAATTCTTTCATTTCAGTTATGATCCTATGACCCAAAAAATGCCAATACTCGCTTATTCGAACATTCAGGCAATGCAGATCAACCGGATGCCAAGTAACCAAGTGATGTCCCACTTTACAAACATGATTTATACATTTCCAACTGGCTCGAATGCAAGTGAATTCAAGTAAAAAACACTGCTAAGGCTACGAAAAGCAAAAGGGAAGTAGAATACCGATGCTGGTATCTCTGTAATCCCGAAAAAACCCAAGGGGATCAAACTCCGGAAGATCACACCGGTTAGGCTTCCAGCGCCACTTGACAATATCTCCGGCGTTCGATTTGTTGCCCAGCCTACAATTCCAGCCCTTGAAAATCTCCTTGCACGTGTGGTCGTACCTAGCACTTGCCGCCTTCGAATCGTAGACCCAGGATCCATCGGAGTAGTCGCAGGACCCGACCCGAACGATGCTCCGCAATTCCTCATCGGCGATGTCGAAGCTGTGATGAGGAGAAGTTGATGCCGAAGGAATAGAAGCCTTTCGGAACTGGGAGAGAATGAGGAAGATGGAAGTGAAGCAAATGAGAGAGAGCAGGGGAAAAAGAGGGACTTTCTTGGCGCTGGTGATGGGGTTGGGATCCCTCGCGGCCATGGAACATGTTCAGTCCTGTGAACTGTCCGCACGCTTGCTTGCTTGCTTGCTGCCATTATAACGATCCAAAATCGAGTTACTAATTTTGGAACGGCATTTCACAACAATATTACAGTTTACAGGGTAGATTCTGTAATTAATGGTGTTCTTTTTTCAATTATTATACAATTATATTTGAAATGAATTTCAATAATTTAGAATTTTTTTATCTTAAATTCGTGTTTTCAATGTATGATTAAAATATTATTTTGAAATGAAAATTTAATTAAAAAAAATATACAAATTAGAATACAAATAATTCTTCATTTATTGAGAAAAGTATAAATATAAAGCGTATATGATAATTTCTTATGAAGACATTGATTTAGTATGTTGTTTGTTGATTAAGATTCAAGAATATCATATGGAAAGCTTAAAAGAATTATTAAAAATAGAAAATGCATTTGGTTCCATGTTCTCTTCCCTTATTAGCAAACTTGTTTTAAAATTTTATCTATAAAAAAATGTAATGTCGATTTTCAATCACCTGTTTTGTTACTAAAATAGAAACTTAGTTGCAACAATACTCTATCACATATTTCTTTAGGAAAATAATTCTGTAAAATATTGAAATATACTTTTAATTACTTATTTTGTCCTTTAGTGGATTGCATGTCTTATTGTCAAAAAAAAAAAAAGATTGCATTTCTTAATCCCATTTGATGAAAGTGACTGCTTACACTCTAACAACTTCAGAGATTTTTCACCCTTTGCCCCTTTTTCGTAGTTTAAAAAAAAATATTTTTTCTATTTGAAAAAACAAATACTTCGTTCGATTTGTTGCTTTGTTCAGTCTTGATGCAATCAACAGAATTCCTATTTCCTTATCCAGGTAGATCATGTTAACCTATCGAAGATGATTATTCAAAGTGTTAAAAGGTCATTGAGACAATATTCAATTTATAATACCGTGAAGTGAGCTAATGCTTTGGGAGATAGTCGTGAGTATTTTTCTCTAAGTGGAGTGATTATTCAAACGACAAAAAGGGAGCTAAATT